ACCCCAAAATGGCTCAGAAAACGTACCAGGTGAATATCTGACCATTTCTAGGCCAAAAAGGTTGGTGGCCTAGAAAACTCATATTGCAAAAGTTAGGCCACCACGTTAAAATGGCTTAAAAACGCACCATTTTAACATCAGATCATTTTCAGGTCAAATCGTTCTTGAATATGTATGTATCTCGAGAAGAATTTAGCTTCTTGCATCAGCCAATTTTTCTATTTTTCCCAGTCGAATTTAGATTAATTAGCTAATTCAATTAACATTTTTCATTTGAATTAACACCGCTTTATGGGTGATTTGAGATGTTTCTGGACTGTGAAGCGAAGAGATCAGGTGATAATGGGTGAAATAAATGAACCCAGATTTTTTCGTTGGAAAATATACAATCGAGGGAAAGAGAATTTGACATTTTTAAAAATTTAAATTGAAAATGAAAATTCAAATGTTTCAGTTCAGAAATTCAAATGTTCTGAAATTTAGAAATACGGAAATTCAGAAACTCAGAAATTCAGAAATTCAGTAATTCGGAAATTCAGAAATTCAGAAGTTCAGAAGTTCGGAATCAGAAATTCCGAAATTCAGAAATCGGAAAAATTGCAAATTTAAAGATTTTTCAGATTTCAGTTTTTTGAAGTTTAAGCAAAGAAACTAGTCTGGAGTTCCGCCAATTCGATAGTAATACCTGCGAACTCTATTTTTATGGAATTTTTGAGACTTATTTCTTGAACAATCAAAAGTTAACCTACATTTTTCAAATTGATTTCTAGAGAATTCAGCTAAAAGTTTAGTCTGGAATTCAGCTATTATAAGAATAGCAGGGAACTTAAACCAGAGCTAATGAAAAGCCTGATTTTCGATATATTATTTGGAAATTCAAATTCTTGATTGGAAATTAAGATATCTTTAAATTTCAACATTTTCGAAATTGGTTGTCAGATGATTTTTTCTTAGCTAAAAAGTTGGAAACATTTGAATTTCTTTCAAATAAAACATTATATGTTACAATGTCATTTTCAAGCCTTTTTAAATAGAAAAATTCAAAATTTCAGATTTTCACACCTTTTGGAGGTCCTTTTGGAGGTTGTTAGGTTCTTGAGGTGATTTTTCTGTGGCTTGTTTAGTGTCTATTAAATTTATTTTTTTTCTTTTTGGACCAAACAGTTGTGTCTATCGTCTATCTTATCACCAGCCCTACCCAAAAATATCACCAATCTCTTTTCTAATCATTTTTTTCATGGAAAATCGATCATGTTATCATTATCTTATCGCTTTTTTCTTTCTATTTCTCTCTATCTCTTTCTCCTCACACTCCTATTATCCATAAATCAATCTTCGACCCTTAAACCCGATAATCCAACCCGCCAGTTCCTTCCAAATCATGTGCGAACAACTGTTGTGTCTTTTTAGCACCTGTCATCCGTACCTTCTCACTGACTCAGCCCCCCTAGCAGTGTCCTCCTCAGTACAACTCATTTTTTCGTCTTGTTCTCTTTCTTTCAACCTCGTCTTCCTTATTTTTCAAAATTCCACAAATTCAGATCATGAAGCCCCTCATACTACTCCTCTCCCTCTTCTCAACCTTCCCAACAATCATCCATTGTCGAAATGGTGTCCCATTCGACTATCTAATGTTCACAACCATCTATCCAACTGCTGTCTGTCGTGCCGATGACGATTCGGTCCCAGAATCCTGTGAGATTCCTGACGCAACCCCACAATGGTCCATTCACGGTCTCTGGCCAAACTATGAAAATGGTTCCTATCCACAAAATTGTCACGGGACACCGAAACATTTCGAAGAGGACCTCATCAAGTCGATTGAGGAGAGATTAGTGTAAGTTGCATCTACCGTAAAACTTTTTATAGAACAACGCCCTAACTTCAAATTTTAAGCCAATTTTTCTCGGTTCCTTTTTTTTAATTTTAGTACTCACCGTACTTGCTCTAATAGAACCCCACCCTATATGTGCACTTTAAGCTCATTCATCTCGGTTCCTATGAGATATCGAAAAATGTTAAACTGGTAAGTTGTTCATCATAATCCCAAAAAATATTTTATCAATTGGTCGATTTCTGATATCTCTTCTGGGAACCAAAATGGGATAAAGGGATTCGGATATAATCGCTTCGATTTCAGCTCCGTTTGGCCAAATCTCTACCCAAAGAAAACGATTCAATCCTTCTGGAAACACGAGTACGACAAGCATGGAACGTGTGCCCAGAGTGAGAAGTTGTTCGAGTCTGAATTGGCGTATTTTACAGAGTAAGTTGCTAGTCTAGTCCTAGCTTTTTGAAATTTCAAAAAATATATTCTTTCATGTCCCTCTCCTTTAAGATTAACATTAGGGACCATACGAGGCCCAGCGGACCAACAACAGGCTAATAGTGGCTTGTTGGTGAGGAATCATGCGGGGAAGGGTGCGAATCCGCACCGTTGCTAAACTATTCAAAAATATTAAATTTCGATTCGAAAAAAATTGAAATTTGTCGTTTTCGGAAAATGATTTTTTTCTTCTTAAAAAAAAGAAAATATTTAACAATGAAAACGATGAGAACCCCAATAAAATATTTTTTCTAGGGTGATGAACGTCTTCGATGCCATCGACGTCGCCGGAGGAATGTCATCAGTTGGACCATCGGAAAAACCGATTGGCGCTAAAGATATCCAAAATGCGTTGGCTGGTGTAACAGGAGGAAAGAAGTTCGAGTTCAACTGTTTGAGAGATAAGAAGGTTAATCTTTCAAATACACCAAAAAAATTTCTCCCTTTGAATTGAGGTCCTTCGAAACCTGCTCTATTTTCCACAAGACATCATACCAATCCTACTTTCTCCTTCTTATTTTTTAAATCCAGCGCCAGAATTCAGAAGAAAATTCAGAATTTTCTGAAGAACTTAAACTCCTGCTCACTTTTTCTGAAAATCCAAGGATTTTCAGACTTCCCCTGTCTTCATATGAACTAGCCTTCAAAATCAGATTTTACAAATCCCGAATCCAAAAAAGCCAAGTTTTCCAGACCAAACAATTCCTTCTCGGCGACATTCGACTGTGTCTCAATAAGGATTTGACACTCCGCGACTGTCCGGGACATCATAATGACGATTCTCATCTGAACCGGGTCAACCGATTCGAGAGATCCACCAGAAAAGGACCACCATTGCCAAGCTTCCAGGTTAGTGTCCTCCAAAAATGTGCATTTTGCATCACGGTGTACAGTAATTGGTTTTTTACGGATTTTAATACTCTACCGTATTCCCTGTATTTCACACCGTCGGGCGGCGGCTGCGACCACAGCTCAATTACAGTGAGCACTTTATTCGAATGCCGTCAACTTCAAGCTCAAATATCCCATGTCCGGTGAAAGATATCAAAAAGTAATCAACTAATAAAATGTTTGTCTTAAAATGAAAAATATTTTAATAGTTTACAACTTTTTGATATCTCTTACAGGAACCGAGATAAATTGGCTGAAAGAAATTGGCGCAAAGCTAGTCGGCGACGCAACTTGCGCCACCGTAGCTCAGATAGTAGCGATGTGTCCCCTTAAAAAATGAGCCCACAAATTCAACACCTCGAGAGCCTACAAAATTTTGAAAAAAATGTGCACTTTGAGCTCAAATATCTTATTTCTAGTAGAAAATAACGAAACATTTTTAATTGGAAAATTATTTATCGTAATATTAGCAACGTTTCATCAGTTGACTGTTTTTTGATATCTTTTACAGAAACGGAGATAAATCGGCTCAACATTGACGGTTTTTGGTAGGCTTAGGAGGGCCAGCGGATCAATAGCACGCCAATGGCGGCTCGTTGGTGCCTCATTAAAACAAAAATTTAAAAAAAAAACTACAAAAAAGGAACTTCATTTGCGACACAGTAAGATGAAAAAAGGACACAATATTGGTGATTTTCTTTCCTTTCTCATCCTTTTCTTCTTCTTTTTCTATTCAACACACGTGAGCAACGGGGTACCCAATTCGGAATCGTACATCAACGGAGTGCCTACAGTACCCTCGTAAACCGTATTGACAGATTCCGATTGAGTGTCATTCGAGTAGGCAGCGTCGTAGGACATTTTCGAAAAGTTGTCATGGTTTCCGAATTTGAAGGTTCCATTAAAGCGAGAGTTGACTTCTTGGGGAACATTCTGGAAACAAATTTTTGGAAAATTATTTTTTTTGAGCAGCGCGGTACTGCCAGTACCTCAAAAACTGATGACTTCACTCTTGGAGCCGTCAACGCCAGAATCGATTCTTCAGAATCCGTACTGCTCGGCCAGGAGCGTGAAGTCAAAAGCTGTGGCTGGACCGGGACACGTGTTGGTGGCATTGGTTTGCCATCTCCAACCAAGCGAACCTCTGGGAAAATGTGCTCTAAGGAGAAAAAGGAAGTATTTCGATTATCTACCGATGGAAGAAACTCGGTTGATGGTGCTGTAGAGCTCACAGGTGTGCTCTTCAGATCGATGCTTCCGTTGCCGGTGACTTGAGGATCAGAAGAAGCCGAAAGCGCAGGATTGGGAAGATATTCATGCAAATTCTGAGCGATTGAATTGAGAATATCTCGAGCTCTCGCACGACGTTCCGGCGACACTTTATTGGGGAATTCGGCTTGGAAAAGTTTGCGTTTTTCCTCGAAAGTCATCTCTTTTGAGACCACCTCGACTTTTTTCTCGGTTTTGCTGCTTCCAGTTTTTGAGGTTCTGAAATTTATTTTGAGATTCTAAAATCTCGAAATTCTGAAAACTCACTGTTTTTTATCAAGAGCCACTCTTCCAAAAATGCCGAAAATCTCCCCGACTGTCATCACCTCATGACGAATATCGCTTAATCTGAGCACATCCTCTGGAGGCAGTGATTCTGAAAATTTTCCAAAATTTTTATCTTTGAAGTTTCAAAAAAGCTAACCGGAAAGAGCTTTAATAGTATCAATGGAATCTTGAACGGACTTCATTTTGGTCTCTTCGCAAGGGTCGAAAAATTTCAAAGAATTGATGGATTTTTGGGGAACCGTTTGTTTGAGCCAGGTTTTGGGCGGTGCGTAGCAAATTTTTGACAGACTGTTGGGTTCACGTAATTATTGATTTGTTGGAAAAAAAATTGAAAAAATTGGATTCGACCATGAGAGAAATTTAAAAATAATAGAAGTGAAATGAGGTTTCGAATTTTCAAAAATGAAAAGTTTCAAATTTTGAAATTTACAGAATTCGAAATTTTTAAATTCTATGGGATTATGAGATCCTAATATCCCGAAAATCTGAGAATTTGAAATCCTGGGATTCTGAAAGATTCAGAATTTTAGAAATTCTGAAAATCTGAGAATCTAAGATTCCGAAGTTTTGAGATTCTGAAAATCTCAAATTCTGAGATTCTGAGAATCTGAGATTCTGAGATTCTGAGATTCTGAGATTCTGAGATTTTGAGATTTTGAGATTCTGAGATTCTGAGATTCTGAGATTCTGAGATTCTGAGATTTTGAGATTCTGAGATTCTGAGATTCTGAGATTTTGAGATTCTGAGATTCTGAGATTCTGAGATTCTGAGATTCTGAGATTCTGAGATTCTGAGATTCTAAGATTCTGAGATTCTGAGAATACGAATTTTTCTAAAATTTATCATTTTTTCAGCCCTGCCCATCGGAATTCATCTATCTGCCAGCAGAATCAGCCAAAAACCCCGTTCCCACGTCATCAGGATTTTTCGAAAAAGTCTTTAATGCAATTAAACATCTTGGAAAATAATTTGGCTCCATTTGTTCGAACTTTCTATTTATAAAGACTACGAGTTTCGTAAATTTTATGAATTTTTTAAAAATTAATATTTTTTGAATTAATAACATCATCTGCTATCAATGATCAACATCAACAACTTCCGGAAAAAAATCATCATTCAAAAAAAATTTTTTGAGCTCAAAAACTTTTTTTAATTTTCAAAGTCCCCCTAATTCTGTGTGAAATGAGCTGGAACTTTAAAAAAAATAGAAAAAAAAAACAAAATTTCGAGAAAGTTGCCTCGTTTAACAACTTTGGAGTGAATTATCTCTTTTTTCTCTTCTGGAACACTTTTGTTTTTGTGTTTTGATAATCTAGAATAATGATGATGACGGTGTTTTTTGGAAAACAATTTTATAGTTTGGATTGCAAAAAAATATATGTTGATGTCAGTTTTTCAGTTTTTTTTCAGAAAATCTGCAAAGAAAAAATAATGAAAATTCTAATTTTATCATAAATTTTGAATAGTTTCCAACATTTTAGGACTTCCAGAATCATCTGATCGTTTTTGATCTGAACAAAATTTGAATTTAAAAATTTCAAAAGAAAACATCTGCAAATTCCAAACTAGAAGAAATGAGAAAACGATTTTTTTCATTTTGCAAAAAAAACTTTTTCAACAAAGAAAACAGAATCCCTACAATGTTTTTGATATTTCGATACTGCATATTATACGAAAAGTTAGGAGAAAAGTGTTTAGTTTTTTTTGCTTTCTGAAATGTTCGAAATTTTGAAATCTCGGAAATCTGACATCCTGAGATTCTGAGATTCTGAGATTCTGAGATTTTGAGATTCTGAGATTTTGAGATTCAGAGATTCTGAGATTCTGAGATTCTGAGATTCTGAGGTTCAGAGATTCTGAGAATCTGAGAATCTGAGAATCTGAAATTCTGAGATTCTGAAACTTTTAAGTTCTGAAACCCTGAGATTTTGAAACTTCAAGATAAAAAAAATCTGAAAAACCTGAAATTCCAGTTGTTCTGAATAACCGAGAAATTTAGAAAAATTTGGAAATTTAGAATACTTCGGAAGTTTTGAGTTCCAGAAAAATCCGAATATCCAAGATTCTGAGATTCTTAAACGAAATTCTGAAGATCTGTGAATCTGAAATTCGAAATTCTGAAATTTTGAAATAATGAATTGGAAAGAAACGACCATTTCGAAATTCTGGAAACATCCAAAATTTAAAACTCTTAGAATATTAGATTCTGAAATTTTTAGATTTCGAGATTTTGAGATTCTGTAATTCCGAAGTTCTGAAACTCTGAAACTTTGGAATTAGAATTTCGGATATTTCTGTAATTCTGAAATTTCCGGAATTTTATAAATTTCGGAATCCTATATATTCTGGAATTCTGAGATCCCAAATTTCTGAATTTGCGTAATCGGAGATTATAAGATTCTGAGATTCTGAAGATTCCGAAATTCGAATGTTCCATATATATTTAGCTTTTTCCCCTGTCTAGACCACCTAATTCTGCTGTCAAACCAATTTCCGTCACTTTTTAAAGAATTTTGATAATTCCATTTCTCAAAAATGATCCAAATCAAATTGACATTTTTCCAAAGCTCCTCCCCCTTTTTCCAGTATTTAAACTTGTTTTTTTTCTAATTTTGGTTCAATTTTCCATTTTAAATATAATAATCACGTCACCAAATTCCGACCGAATCAATTTTCAGTCATTATTTTTTCTTTTATTTTTTATTTTTCTCCAATTTTTGAATACAAACAACACAAACTCCAAATTTATGGTTTCATTTAGCATTATTATTTTCAAATTATAGAAACCTTTTTTTTCTAATCCTCAAAGTTTGTGTTCCAAAAAATATTTCAGAACAAAAATAACCAAAAACTATTAGTCAGAAAATCCGGGGTCCCCATCCCAGAAAATGCCCATTTTTGTTTTTTTTTTCATTAAAAACCGGAAGGAGAAGATGTCACGAACACGACATGGCACCGCCTAAATCCACGTGATTCTTGGAGAGTGATGCTCCAAATATCTTTGGATTTTCAGATGGAGCATCATCATGAGGTTTTTCGGAGATGATTCAAAATTTCTAAACTCGGAATTTTGAGACTTTGGGAAAGCTGAAAATAATTGAAATGAGCAGATTTTTGGGATTTAAAATTCTCAAGGAAAAAACTTCGTAAAACCTGTGAACCCTTGGATTTTGGGATCAAAAACTCTTAGGAAGGAATTTAAGATTTTCAGATAGTGCTGAAAGTTTTTCTGAACTTTGGCACTGAATTTTTCAAATCAGAAGGAGATTGTAGAATTTGCAGGATTTTTGGGGAAAAATAAAGCTGGATTTGAAGGGGTTATATTTAAAGGGACAAGACGATTTTCAGTGTTATTTTGAACCAAAATATTGCATTTTTTACTAATTTTTACTTCTTTGGATCCTCAAAATTTCCTACAATTTAAACTTTTTTGATTTTCAGTGATTTCAAAACATTAAGTTTCTGGGAATCTGAAATTCTGAAGAACTGAGGTTCTTAGATTTTGGAAAATCAAAAATCCAGACTAATTTTGAAGTTAAAAGTTTGAAAAACTTAAACAGAAACGGAAATTTTAAAATTTTGGGAAGATTTTAAAACTTCGCGATTTTTGAATATTAAGATTTCGAAAATTATTTTTAGATTTATTTGAGATTCTGAGGTTCTAAAATTCTGAATTTTTGAGATTTTGAAATTTTGAAAATCTGAAATTCTGAGAGTTTGAGATTCTGAGATTCTCGATTTCACTAATTCTCAAAATCTAAGAATCTCAGCATCTCCAGAATTCCTAAATTGCAGAATTTTATTTCAGAACACCAGAATGTACGAATGTCTGAATCTCAGAATCATAGAATCCACCAAATTCCACACTCCAAAAAATCCCTTTTTTTGTACTTCCTTTTTCCTCCAAGAATCACAAGCTGTTCAGAATCATCATCTCTTCAATAATAACACTTTTCCACTGCTTTTGATCATTCAGAATACAAAAACTTCAAAAACTCAAATTCAAATTCAAGAATTCCCCTATAAAGGTGTGTCAGAAGATTTCTAGAATCATGTGTTTTTTCTTTTGTTATGTCATTTAGCATAAAAAAATTTGTGACGTTGAATTAAAAAAAGTGTTGTAATATCCGGGATTACACTTTTTAAGCCTTATCTTATTTTTTCGGGTTTCTGGCATTTTGCCGGAAATTCCATTTGTGGTCTTCTGATCTGTATTATTCATATCATTCTTTCTTTTCAAATATAAAAAATGTTTCAAAAAAAATTCATAAAAAGTTTCAATTTATTATCCAATCTGATATCAACTGATATCATTTTTAATTTGATCTACTATACGAAATTTTAATTTTGAAAAAAATTAATTCATTCATTTTTTTAAAAGTTTGATTTACGGTAAAGTCATAAAACTTAAGAGTATAAAAGTTTCCAGAAGTTTCCAGAAATTCCCAGTAACCTTGAAGTCCGGAAATCCCAATTTCCGGGGCCTAGAATTTTCCTTTTTTTCCAAAAATTTGTGCCTTGTGTTTTTGTGTCTTCTGTAGTCTTCTCATATGACAACTAACCCCTATTTTGACATTCAACATTCCAAGTTTGGCCAATTTGAGACATTTAGGAACGCCTTCTTTTTCTTGTTTGACCATTTTCGAGATTTTGATATTTTGAGATTCTGAAATTTTTGAATTCCAGAATGTTCCAGTTCTGAAATTCGAAGGCTCTGTAGTTCCGGAACTCTGAAGTTTAGGAATTTTGAAATTCTAGAATTCTGAGGTTCTAAGGTTTTCAGAAAGATTTTCAGAGAGACTTTTTGGAGTCCAAAATTTGATGAATTCTGAGATTTTGATATTTGGAAAATTGTGGGTTATGGGATTCTAAGATTTAGAGACTGTTAAGTTCTGAGATTATGAGGTTTTGAAATTATTTTGGAATTACAGCTGAAATTCTGAGATTCTGATATTCTGAAATTCTGAGACTCTGAGATTTTGAAATTTTGAGATTCTGGGCTCCTGAGATTCTGGGCTCCTGAGATTCTGAGATTCTGAGATTCTGAAATTCTGAGATTCTGAGATTCTGAGGTTCTGAGATTCTGAGATTCTGAGATTCTGAGATTCTGAGATTCTGAGATTCTGAGATTCTGAGATTCTGAGATTCTGAGATTCTGAGATTCTGAGATTCTGAGATTCTGAGATTCTGAGATTCTGAGATTCTGAGATTCTGAGATTCTGAGATTCTGAGATTCTGAGATTCTGAGATTCTGAGATTCTGAGATTCTGAGATTCTGAGATTCTGAGATTCTGAGATTCTGAGATTCTGAGATTCTGAGATTCTGAGATTCTGAGATTCTGAGATTCTGAGATTCTGAGATTCTGAGATTCTGAGATTCTGAGATTCTGAGATTCTGAGATTCTGAAATGCGGGGATCCTC